GGCTATTTCCAAAAACACAAGCCGTTTCCGAGTTTTTATCTGTTCGCCTCGAGCGTTTCTGATGTTTCCTCGAATATACATGCATCTGAATCTGGTGGAAGTGATAGTGATATTACGGCTGTTTGTGGTTAAACTAAAGTCTACCTGTAGGGATCCTTTCATAAACTCGCTGTCAGACACTGACAATAACAACCGAAGTCTTCAGTACTGTTAGTGGAACAAACAACTACTACTATTAGTGGAACAAACAACAACTACTGTTAGTGGAACAAACAACAACTACTGTTAGTAGACGGACATTGACAGCGCAGGGAATAGCTAACGTTAAATGGCAACCATAGCAGCCTGTTTTACGGCTATTTTCTCATCTAATTTGGTGAATTAAGGATTTATTTTCCACCAAACCAGAGTTGATGACTGTTGGAAAGACTAACAAAGAAGGTTTGGGTGGATTTTATTTTGTTTCTGTTCACTTTGAAGAGTTAAAAGAGAGTAAAATGATTGGTTTTGTTAATTAATGGAGTCTGGTGGGACGTTGCACCCATTGTTCTGCTCTAGTGTGACATCTAGTGGCAATAAATACCAGTAGTTACTGTAAATAAAGAGTCATTATGCATGAGGAGTACTTTTTGCACTATATTTTGATGCCAGCTGATGAAGAGTAAAAGGGTCTAAATTGCAGTTTTAAGTGTTGAAAGTTGATCTCGGTTTTATGATCATGTGATAACAGATCTGGATCCAACGAACAGACTCCAGATTGGATTCAGATTGGATGGAAACAGAAGCGCAGGATGGACGGACGAGGCTGTGTGGACACAACTTCTGTGCATAGGATTTAATCATTACTCACAGTGAGCTGGTTGTATTGTTGCATATAGGAGGCCCCACTTCACACACACCAACACACCAAGACCTGTACGTGTACACACAGACAGTCTGGTCCCGGTCTGAGTCAGAAATCACTCTACATTTAATATTCAGCTCATTCATTAACTACATTCAGTGTGGAAATGTATAGAATTCATTTACTGTACAGTGTTTATTTCGGCTCTTCTATATGTTTTAGTCTCATTTTTTTTCTCTGCTAGTCTTTCTGAGGCTTCAGCCATCTTTGTTGTATACAGTTACCATGGTTACAGATGTGTTTCATCTGGGATAATAAGTGCTGCCTGCAGGTAGGTCGGGTATTGTACAGTGGAGGCCATGTTTGTAGTCCTGTTGCTGGTAAGCTGAGCTCAGTCGGTGGAAATACTGGATTTAAAAAAGTGCTGCAACGTCTCAGAGCAAAACGAATAACGATTTACCTCCCGGACCGTAAAAACTATGTTATATTAGTTTGTCCAACAACAATCACCGAGTCCGGTTTGGTTGAAATAAATCCTTAATTCAGTACAATAGGGGGATGCAGGAGATTTGAAGGGAGTGAGAAAATAAAACACATTATTAAGAGTCTCAGTTTAATACTGAAGCATCTATGTGAGCTACAGAAACAAACCATCAGAGAGCAGACTGGATATTTCTGTATTGTTATTATTAATGTCTCCCACTGGGGGCGCATTCCCCTTGAAATCAATGAAACGAGGCTGTAGAAACACTACAATCAGAGTCAACACAAAAGGACAGTTCCTCGTAGCTGCTTTAAGTAACAGAACATCTCTTGTTCTCACTGTGAGGAAACATAAAAGCATCTCGTCCATTCGCCCACACTCTCACCACCTTCAAATAAAATATCCTCCTTTCTTCTTCCTGGGAACACTGAGGCGTCTGTTGACTTCAACTCTTCATCTTCTGTTTCTTTCTTCCACAGACAAGAAATTTCACCTCAGTCACACTAAAAGCTGCACGAAACACAGGTCGCATTCATCCAAAACGGAGCTGACACAGTTGAACTTCTTTAACACTTTAAAACCAAGACTAGTGCTGAAAGGATTCATCCATTAATTGACTGACTAGAAAATAATTGACTGTTATGACAAAAAATTGTTTAATTAATTTATCAAATAAAGAGTTGGCTGCTTCCAGCCTCTTCAGTGTCTCAGATTTTCTCTCTTTAATATTTCAGAAATCGATTTTATTTGAAATCTGAGTCTGACTGTAGTGTGTTCGTTGTATATCAGTCTTTGTGAGGACCAAAGTTAATTAGAGTTCTTCAGACTGAGGACATCTTTTAAAACCGAGGACATTTTTGGAAAGTGAGGATTTTCGTCGGCTCTCACTTCTTCAGCGTCCACTGTACTGCGGTATTTTAGACCCCTAAAACGGAGACATCTGGAAAAGCTGCTAGCCCCGTTTCAGCTTTAACACGTCCAGAAACGATCACTGATTGGCTCCTGGAGCTGTGGGGTCAGTCATGCCCTGTCATATAACCCTTTTTCCACAACTTTAAAATGAAACCTCGGCAGTGTGGACGCAGCTTTCGGCTGACGGTCGGTGTAAAGTTGTGACGGCTAAAGTTTGGGAATGCAGTAAGTCAGTGAGGGTCCTCACAAAGATAGAAGTACAAGGGTCTGTGTGTTACTTTGAAGTCAAGAAGGACTCTTTCACCTTTTCACACATTCGTACAAACCTACATCTTACCTCTTTAAATCTGCTGTTCACACACACAGTTTATAAATCCAGTCAGTTCACAGGGTTTAGGATTAGTGTGTTTTAGTGTGTGTGTGTTGACTTTGCATCCATCACTTGACCGTCAGACTTGCACTTGAGGCTGGTCACACACACACACACTCACACACACACACTCACACACACACAGAACTTCACACATTCCTGAGGCGTCTGCAGTCTGACACACCTGACAGATGCTGATTGGTCCGATGCTTTATGGTCGCGTTAGTTACAGACCGACAGCTGGATGGAGAACAGACCACCGACCGGACCGCGTTCAGGTCAGCTGAGTCTGTCCGTCAACAACCACCGACGTCCTGCAGAGCGAACGACTCACAGCTGCTGACACGAGTTTGAACGCCAGTATCCGACTACACGTTGGTCCCCCAACCAATCACAACGCACCGTCTTACTCAACTTTGTCATCAGGAAGGAGGAGTGTTATTCCTCTTACAGGTGAAGAGCGCTCGGAGCTCCTATCGGTCAACAACACGTTGTAGGATTTCTAAAAACTAAAACTAATTCTATGATTCACTACACGGGATGAAACCAGCAAGTGTCGCACCAGACGGACAGTTTTTGAATAAGTATTTCATATAAAACAACCACATGATAAGGCCTATTTATTATTATCATTATTATTATTAGTAGTATTATTACTGTTTGAATACTCAATAAATAATATTTATTTACTCATATTTGAAATAAAATACTGTA